AACACACACGCACGTGCTCACACGTGACAGCAATTGACATCAAACAAAAGCTCCTTTTCTCCCTCTTTACCGTGCTGTGGGGCTCATCCTGCAGACAGAGATCCATCCGTGACTTATGTTTGATTATCCTCCGAAAACTCAGAGGCTGCAGGTAAATTAATGGAAATCCTATTGGTCAGGCATGTGAACACACACACACACACACACACACAGGTCAAAAGGATTTTCACACTGATCTTGAGTCGGAGGGTAAACACACACTGTCCAAAATCCGCTGCCCATCTGAACCCTGCATGCAGAGGGACACGTGGGCTATCTGAGCGTTAGACGTCCCTCTAATACGCCTGATTCCAAATCAATAAATTGCACGAGCTATAATTTCTTAATTGCCATGCACATTTGCACGTCTGCACACTTCTTTAGTCGGCTGTATGATTGTTTCAACTATAAATAATCTTTGCATTCAGCTTCAAAATTGAATGCAGCTCAAATCAGGATAAAAATCATGATATTGTGACTATTGCCAATATGTCTCTTTTTTTTCTTCTTTTTTTTTAATGTTAGAATTTACTTTTTCTTGGTAACTGCAACAAACCATTTTACCCACGAGGATCACTTAAGTATTTATGAATGAATGTGAAAAGAAACACTTACCAAACATAAATTATTCTAATTTAGGCCTACTTAAATTCAATCGTAAAAGTCAAATCACCCCATAATTAGGCTTCATTATAAATGTAATCTGGTTGACATGGAATCAGTGGATAAGTGAACAAATCAGCGGGTTTTATTGTTTGACTAATGTAGGCTATGGATTAATAGAAATCCCCAACTGCACATTTAATGCAGTTTAGGGCATGCTCATGTGCTCTCTTAAGTCTTTTGATAAATTAAGAAAACTCCTGTTGACCTTTGAATTGTTTTCTTCTTATTTTAAATTCTTTAGCCTATAGTTTTCAATAAAACACAGGGTTTTTTTTGTCGGTTATGTTTTTTTCGTTTTGGGATGTAATAACTAAGGGTACCTTTGACCAATTTAAACAAAATGCAAGAATCGTCATGTTTATTCTATGAATCTAAATATTTTTGCTTATATGCAAATAAGCCACACTCAGTGAAAAAACGTTATTTCCGTTTTCATTTATAAATACCAACTGGCAATACTGCATACAGCACATATCATTGCACGTAATTTTATGTTTTTAGTAGAGTTTTGATTTATGCATCGAATGCAAATGGCCTGTCGCAGCTTCGGGAAGAACAGAAATAGTTTGACTATTTGTCACTGAAAAATATTCAAAATCGGAGGGAAAATCCTTTATTAAAAACTCCAAAGAGAAAGTAAACGAAATTAAATGCATGAATAAATTATCTCAAACAAATTAAAAAGTAATATCAATGTAAAAAAAAAAAAAGATCAGAAAAGTTGTTTCATCCACGTGTTGCCATTTAGTTTATTCGTTTTTTGCATATAAATGAAAAGAAAGTAAAGCCTATTTAAGGCTTCACAGTGTGTATTTTAATATTAATAACCTATGTGAATAAAGTTAAAGACTAACGGCAGATCTCTGGAAAAGAAAATGTCCTCAGTGTGTCTGAAATTGCCTAGCCTTTCAAATGTCCATTAGTCATCGATCGATTTTCCATCCAAAGCCTAACAGTGAGACTTCCATTTGAATTGATGAATAATCACCGCAATTTCATATCTGGAGGGCCACATGTCCCTTGATGCTTACAACAGTTTCATACCTTTCTGGTCATAATTAGAGGCATAAATGTTTTCCTTTCCTTTTATGGAACATAGGCTATTATCGAAATTTTTAAACGACCTTATAGATTGTTAGGCTGATTTCTGAAATGATGAATCTCAAAGAAGCCAGTTAAGGCCTGAAAATCCTGTTTGGAGACCTTAACATGTAGGTGGAGGTGAATGATTTATCAGCTTTTTATAAAAAAAAATTTTTTAAAAATTTTTTAAAACACTAATGCAGACCCAGGCTAATCGGGGAAAAAATAATCCTCCCTGATAACTTACCTACATTAAACTTGTGTAACAAAACGTTAGTGTCACTGAGGCCACTGTGTTATTATTTGGTGATGGGCTGCTTGGTTTTATTACAGACTCTATTGCCTTTTTCATCAATTTGTGGGGAACGTCTGTCACTGCGGCCCCGCGAGCCAGACCCTGGCGCCCCGACCCGTGGGTCAAAGGTCAGCCGGCCAATCTGCCATTACCGCAGCTCATCAACCTCCATCAAACACCAGGTGAACCCTGCTCTTTTTAATTACGGGTAAGTAGCCTGTAGGCCCAATAATAACTCTTTTTTCCCCCCTCTAAACCTCGATAAAACAGGGTAGTTTCACTGTATTGCTTAAAGCAACACATTGTACGTTTCTCAAGTGTTTGGCCTAGATGTGAGCTACTTTTAACTAGAGCGTTTCCTGTCGCCCAGAAGTATAGTCCTAGAACCGCGTGGTTAAGAGGTGAGTTTTGGTAAACGGATTAATATTTCAATTAGCAGTTAACGTTTCAGCTATATCTTCATCAGAGTCTCTTATTAACACGCCAAATTACAATAGGCTAAATGTGTTACATTAAGCAGCAGAACAGGTGTGTTAGTGTTCAGGCCAGGTTTACCTACAACAAGTGAAACAGTTATCTATAGCCTACAAGGCTAGTGGTGGGCTTAAGTTAGCCACATACCATTTTAAACAATCCACTCATTCATCAGTTGATGTTCAATTCTTCAAACACATCCTGTCCACTACAGTTAGCATGAAGAAAATCAGCTTCATTGCGCTATTTAAACCTCTTTAGGTCAAGGGTAAAGTGTTGCTAAGTTAGCCAACTGAATAGTAATAATATTCCCCTAATTAGCCATGCAGTTAATGCTAACTAGTAGCCCAAAGTGCTCCAGGTCAACTGTATGCCTGAATGTAATTGTAAGAGTAGGACAATTCACAGATAAACCCAGTTATTATGGATGAATTCTAACTTCTCCTGTAATGCACAGATGGAGGAAGCTTGACTACATAACTTAACTTTACTATTCCAGTATTTTCATTATTTTATATGCATTTTAATTATACAATTCTTTCATAATTATTCTTGTATGTGACCTTCTTTGTTGATAATTACATTTAGGCTATATATATTTTAGGTGACCTCATGCAAGTTGCATGTCATGCTCAGTTTACCTTCCTCGGTTAGCTAAATAATATAAATGTAAAAGCAGATCATTATCAACCGATTATTATGAAAGAATTGTGTAGGCCTAATCATCAAAATACTGTAAGACTAAGTTGTGTAGCTAAGCTCAAACTGTAGGCTGGTAAGTATTTCCTCCATTGCGCCGTGGAAAATAAGGATCAGGACTGTCCAGTGACTGATAAGAAAGAAAAGCTCCTCACATACAGACCTACTTCTACCCCCCGCAGTTCACTGTCATCTCTGTGTAACTCAGTAGTCTAAAGTGAATTAATTCCAAATTAACTGATCATATCTGAGTATATTTTTAATTTCTACTTGACATTTTACTGTATCAAAAATGGCACAATCAGCAAAAAAAGAAACTGTTTCCCCAGTAGACTTATAATAAATCTAAAATCTTTTCAATCCTTGTAACCAACTCCTTTTTTCCTGACATCAAATGGCTTCCAGCTAATGTCTTATTTATAAACCTAAAAATGATTAACCACAATGATAATACCCATTGCATATTGACTGTTGCCATTGCATGTATTGACATCTGTGTAAACCTCACAATAGTGGACATTTGACCAGCGTTCCTCAATAAATAGTGGAAATGAAGCTTGGGAGGTCAGGGAAACAGTAACTCCCCCGGATTGATTTCCAATAATGTGGTCATCGCCTGTCTGATCCACAGGATGCAGGCTACAGGGAATTGTCAGCTCTTGTCCCGCTGGCTGTTGCTGTGGTGACCAGCGTGGAGATAATAGCAGTTAATGAGAAATTAACCCCAAATACGAGAGAAGACAGGAAGTGATGAGTGTTTGCGGGAAAGAATAAAGACATGATTCGTCAATGGACGACCCCGGCCTGATCAATATTGTGCTGTAATTTGGCGTTGGTAACAAGCAGCACGACCCCGTTCCTTTGAGACCGAGGAGGTAAATCTAATTTCTCAGTATAGACACGCTCACACAGTGCGTCAGAACATGCATTTTCAGACGTTAAAGCACACACACACATCAACAAAACACACACAACAGACACAACTATAGAAAGTCACACGTACGGGCATGTACACATAATCTAATCACACACACACACACACACACACACGAACAGACGCAGCGATGATCGGACGGCTGTCTCATTGTCCAGCTGGTTAGGATGCAAGCGGGCGATCGTGCCCTCCAGGTCAAAGGTCAACTTCATCCCAGACGCCTGACCTCATCCACTAAAGTTTGAACTCTCTGGCCACGGGTGTGTGTGTGTGTGTGTGTGTGTGTGTGTGTGAGGGTAGAAAAAGGGAGGGTGTTTAGGGTGGAAGAGAAGGAAGGAGAAATCTGGAGGACAATAAGGTGATAAGCACAAGTGAAATATAAAATGGTCAATTATTTAATATAAACACTGGTGTGTATTTGAGTGTTCGAGGCACTGCAGAAGCGACGGCTAGAGGATGGCAGGCAGGAGGATTTTACGATATTAATGATTTTATGTAAAAAAAAAAAAAACAACTGTTATTTTTAGTGTGTTAACTCACATTTTTCTACCAAATGTGGTCTTCTTATCATAAACCACTGAAAATGAAAGATTGGATTCGAAGACAAAAAATGATTGAAATAAGAACGGAAGAAAAATTTGAGAAAAAGCTGTCCAAAAGAGAGCAATGATAGTTGCAGGTTTTCTCCTTCCTCAATAATTGGCCTCCTCTTCCTTCTCAGTATCACTTTTGCCATCATTTTCAGCCTTCCCTTTTATTTTTTCTTCTCTCTCATTCTGCTGCACTGTCCCTCTCTCCCTTCATCCCTCCCAGGCTTTTCTGGCGAATTATCACCTGACCTTGACTCGTGATCCTCCGTGACACGCACACACGTGTAGAACACATTCAGGTATACAACACACACAAGCATTAGCTCTCACACGCACGCAGGCTTGCAGTTTGTCCTGCGCAGCAGCCCACATTTAAGTGCACATCGTCACGCACACATGCTATTGTAGCCAGTTCCTTGACGTGCATCAGATATTTGTGACTGTAAAGGAGAAACATGTTGTAGGAGTTATGTCTTACTGATAAAAAGAGATTCCCTAAAAATCTTAATATTGAGACTTTGGAGGCATTCCTGACTCAAGAGTTTACAGTGACGCTTGATAGTGATACTGGTACAGTCAAATATGATTTAGCACAGTGAGTTTAAATGAACGACATAATTCAAATACTGTGAACAGAACAAGGAAGAGGTTTTATTAAATTACCATTAAACCACTTGTTTTGCATGATTTGTCCGAGATGTGGGAGTCTGGACCTGTGGTAGCCTACAAGAAACTACAAAACAATTTAAGAAAATTAGTGATTTGTTGTAGTTTTTTGTTTTTTACATTTTAATGCAAGTAGTTTGAGTGCCATTGACTTCAATATCCCCAAAGGGATATTGCTTTGCACATGTGCAGAATAAAATCATGGTGAAAATTCACACCATTGACTTTAAAGTAATTTTTTACGGTAGCCTAATTTTAAAGAATTAAAGAAAACCAGATCTTTTAATTAAGTCATGCTGACACATATTTTATTTCAGATAGCCTGGTTAAGTTGTTGTCTGAAAAGATTACAGTGATGTTTTAAATCGTCTCTGTAATAACTTTTCAAACACATTTTTTTATTTATTCTGCGTCTTAAACGTAACTTGATGAAATCAAAATGCTTTCTGTATGCTCGTCTTTCTCCTTGAATGAAAACCCTCAGCACTCAGAGCAACACCAAATCAGTGGTCATGTTGCAGGGAAACTAAAAGCAATAAAGTTCAAGGTTTTTGCTCATTCTGACAATTTTCCCAATATACTTCTTGTGTTCGCAGCAAATAACCACAATCAAAGGATGGCGCCAGCAAGCGGTTCCTCCCTTTTCTCCCTCCGAGTCCTTGCACACCAATCTCGTCATCCCAGAGGTTCAAAGATGAAGGTGAGTGGGTGGGAGGGGGAAGGGGGAGGTAGAGGAGGGGATGGAGGATAAAAGCGGGGTGGAAATACGCCTGGCCGAGCACTTGTGTTTCCATCCCTCCCCTTCACCCCTCCTCTCCTCCCCAAAAAACATTCTTTTCCTTCTTCCAGCTCTTGTTCGCCCCTAATCCCTCGCTACTCCACTGCATATGTTTCCTAATCCGGAGTGTGTGGGAGGCCCATGAACCCCCCCCTCCACCTCCTCACCCCCCTCCACCCTTGCCATTCTCTTGGTGGCTGTAATGCTGTAACCTGCCGCCATTCGTCTTTCTTTCAGCCTTGTTCTCCCTTACTGTCTTTCTTTCTGTAGCTCTTATCGTTAGACAGCAGTGTGAACTAGCGTTCCCCCACCCAACACCTTCTCCCCTCCTCATTTCTAAAACCTTCCTGCTTCTTTATCTCTTTTGTCTTGTTTTTTGTTTTCTTGCATTTTCTCTGCATTCCTCTTATGGTTATGTCGTCTATTTTTTCTTCTCTTCTTTTCGCCACTTCTCCAAAGAATTACACTTCTACGTATTTAAATATGAAAAAATTGCTAAATGAACTTGCCTTGTTTTTGTACATGATCAAAATCCTGCTATGATTAATCTAATTTACCCAAACCTTAACCTAAAAAGCAGACCCAAACTTATTATGATTTAAAAATTTGTAATTATAATATCTTGTAGAATATCCAACTAGTGCATCCTCTTCTCTTTTCTGAACACTTGATTATTTTCCACTGGTTTCTCTGCTGCTCATTCATCCTTTCTTTTCTTCCCTCTAGCTGTCTTCTTTTCTCTCAGGTGATTTTGTTCTCTCTCTTCTCCCTCATTTCAGCTGCTCCCGTAACACACACACACACAGGCTTTTTGTCCTGCTTCTTCTCTTGCTTTACCCCATTACTGAATAGTATTCCTGGAGCCTTTTGTAGAGCCTTGTATAGGCACATGCCAAGTCAAGTTATTTCAGAGCGGTTTCAATGGAATTACCCCCCAAAATAATCTCCTTTTGCCCCCCCCCCAAAAAAAAGTAGAAAAGGACTGAAGAATAGAAGAGAATAATGTAAAATGAACCAGCACCCTTGACACAGAATAAGCCTGTAGTTCCACACTAGAGGAACACGAGAATATCAAAAGATCAGAGTCTACATATTAAAGAAGCACCCAGGAATCTGGATATGAATTGTGAAAAGTAGGGATGTAGTGCAGTGAGTAAAGCTCAGTTTACCCTGCTTTTTTATGTGGAGATTACTCACCTTTTTCAAGCTGACAGAAATTTTCAGGACTTAAATTTATGGTGCAAGGAACTGTAAGTTAGAAAGTAAACAACAAATGTTCATGTTAAAGCCTAAACAAATTGATTTTAGTAATAATTAACTATTTAGTATGCAGGAAAAGGCTTAGTCATCATCAACACTCACAGCACAATTGAGATATTGGGATATATAATGCCTATAACAGTGGAATACATTGAAATTTCAGGTTCACCAACATTCAAAGCCATCTTTGCCGTGGAGGTCAGGGGTCAAAGCGCAGCACTTACACAATACACGTAATAAAACTGAATGATGGTTGTTCATTTCAAATGATCCTTAAATGAACCGTGACTTCTGAATAGGGATCAATGCGTGTTCTGTGTATTCTGAATGAAGCTACTGCATTGAAGTGTGTCTCTATTCCAGGATAATGTTTGAGAAGCAGGACAAATGCGTTATATTATTGTGTCTTTTGTCTCTTCCATTCAGCAGTGTTATCTGTTGGTTTTAAGCCTTTTCCTTGTTTGATGTGTGTGTGTACAGTGTGGCATCGTCATCATCATCACGATATGAACATGTGCGATCAACACATTGCTAATAGCATATTTTTACAAACAAGCTGAAACAAAAGCTGTCTGTATGTAGTCTAACTGTAAAGCTTAGTCTGCTATATACCTTACATTTAGCTCATTGTTGTAAACTTAGCTGCTGGCTGAGGCAAACAGCCAATCCTCTCTCTACTAGTTAACCATACCTGCAGGCATTGAATAACAGATGCAGAGGGCGGAGGAGAAGGACAGGAGGAAGGGCTGACACTCACTGATGTCTGAGAACGTCACGAACGTCGGGAATATATTTTATTCTATTGACATTTTAGATTTGTTTCCAGTGAGATATTATTGAGTTTATATAGTGACTTTGCTTTTGTAAACTTTATTTTTGCTGCTGTAAAAACAACATTTAGTTGTATTTAAATTAATCCTGTTCTGAATTTAAAGATAATATGCACCCTTCAATATTTGTTTATTTATCGCAAGTCACATCGTCATTGCTATATTGAACAGTGTTATTGCACATTGCAGATTTTCCTCATATCGTGCAGACTAATGCAGGTAGTATTAATGTGTGAGAACAACAAACTACGTTTTTATGCTTCCAGCCATGTATGTATCTGTATGAGTTCAAGAGTGTGCATATATCAACTATAAATTCACCAAAAAGTAAACTATTCAGTAAGCGTGTTTCGGCCCACTTGAATGCAGGTGTGCAAGCACATGCGAGCCGCCTTCAGGCATTCTATGCTCTTGTGTGTTCATCAATGTGTGTATATATATAAATATATTTATATATATCCATCAGTGTGAGTGTATGTCAGTGCCAAGTGTCATATCGATAGGTTAATAGCTGTGGTGTCAGATTCTGTAACTCTCTGATTAGTTGACAGTTCACTAATCCACACACCATCCTGAGTTATTGGCCCGGCCCATTGATTTCCAGCCTGCCAGCCAAGCCAGGAGGAACTCAGGGGTCGTAAGAAAGCCTGCCGTTATTGATTGGCCCCAGATCAACCCCACCACCACCTCCCCGTAACACACTCACATGCACCAAACCCAAGTGCAGTCCTACGGCATGCAGCCTCGCCATTCCTTCAGATGGTTTCTTTCTACATTTCAATGGCTCTCCTCTTGCTACCTATCCAACTCCTGTCTCTCTTCTAGTGTGCCATGGGGTATATTTGTGTCATGTTGTGGTGTCATCTCCATCAGTCAATTTTTTTAGAGTGAAACATTTTTATTGACAGATTTTATGAGTTGAAGGAGGCATCCAACAAAACTACTTCTCTCCCTGTTTCTCCCTCTCTACCTGCTCTGCCCCGCTGCCAGTACTTTCATATCCTTTCATATCTCTGTCAGTGCATTTAAGTGAGACTCCTCCCAAAATCTTTTGAGTATCAAAAACCTTCACCCTCTGTAGACTGTAGGTGGCTGTAAAACATTTGTAGTTTTCATTCCTTTCAAAATTTCAGTTATAGTGAATGCAGATGGTGTCATGTTTCAAAGAGGTATAGATTTAATCTGGTCATTATTAGAATTCAATACCACAGCTGCTGTTCTTGATAAAGAGCAGCAACCCTTCAAGTCGACATATTTAAAGCTAAAAAGACATTTTGGATTTACAGAGTCACTTCAAGATGCACTTTGTTCTACACTTTTTTTTGAGTAAAATGTGACCGACAGACTACCCTGCAAGAATTGCCGGCTTATTGTGGTGGAGTGAAAGAAAAAAGAGCTACTGGGAGGGTTTCACAAGATAAATTTGTCTCAGGTGACCAAGAGCCATTCAAAGATCTCTATGGAATGGCATCTCCAATATAAGTGGCACCTCATCCAGATTAGCAAACCCGGAACCCCTCTCTGGGATCAGGCCTTGGAAGGGTGCAGAGAAGCACTTGATGGCCTCGCTTGTATCAAAAGGGCCTGGTCAGGCTTAGTATGAAGCCACCACCTACAAAGTCATATTTAAGGGGTTTGTGCATAATCTTTCAGGTGGCAGGTGAAGGTGTGGGTCTTATTCTGATGCCAAAGCTGTAAAGTCTGTGTTTTTATCAAATAGGCGACACTGAAACTTACTCTGTCCAGCTTGGTTAAGTCTTCCAATAAGCTTGTTTTGACTTGCCACTTTCTTATGTCCTCTGTCTTCTAATGTCCATCACTGACTCTATAATCTGCATGGCCCATATGATTCATTTTTTTTTAGCAATTTAATACTTTAAGCATAACTGTACATTTGTCTCACTGTATGCATCTACTTCTGAATTTTCATCCTTCTTCTTTGTCCAATGTATTCTTCTTTCAACCTCTTTTTATAGATTATTGTGAGCACCTTGGCTCTTGAAAGTGAGCTGAAAGATAGAGCAAAGTAACCTGGATTTAAACCTTCAGTTAAAATGGTAAATGCATTTAACTCTGTTGATCCATAAGCAGATACAAACATCACTGTTATCTTCCTCTCGACATTCCCAAAGTCCCTTATATTATTGCAGCCCTCTTTTTCTTTCCTCCCTCTGCTCCCTCCATCGCTCCTCAGCCTCTGTGTAAGCATTGGGATGGGGTGGTGATGGGGGTGGGGAGGGGAGGGGGGTTGTTAAACATTTTTCTTCCGTCTTAATTGTTTTGACTTGTGCCATTGGCATCCCGATTAGGCCCCATTGATTTCCCACTGCTAAGTGCATTGATTTCTACATTTCTCATTGATCTCCGCTTCTAAATCTACCCACACACACGCTCTGTGTCTGTCTCTCTATTTCTCTCCATGAACACGACCCAGGCTGAGAATGAAAACGTGTGTGTTTGTGCGTGTGCGTATGAGAGTAAGTGAAAGTAAGAGAGAGGGAGGCAGGTAGAGAGTAACAGTAAATTTGGGGAAAAAAAGATGCAGTTTATGTAGTATAAGAAAATGTATTATATGCATATAATTGTGTGTGTGTGGGCGCGAGACACAGAAAAAATCTTAAAGATAGAGGCCACACACATAATTTAGCAATACAATTTTGTTATGAATAGTAATATACCAACTGTATCTTGGGGTCAGACAGATATTTCTGGACAATTTACAAATAATTCTGGATTCATTTTAACATAAAAAATGTGTTTTCCAGGAAAATGTAGGTGCTCTAACATTTTCTTAACTTAACTGAATATTATGGCTGATGCTGTGCGACATGC